GGTTCATAACAGACATTAACAAAGAATGTAGATGATCTCAAGATTCTGTGAGACATTTGATTATATTTTAACCCCTGCTTTTTAGATGAAAGCAAGACATTGTGATACCAGTGGCCATAAATAATCCCTCCCAATGTGTGGTCACTATCCTTAAAAACGCAGTGTTTATGATTGACTAGTATTCATAGACATGAAATCTGCAGGCAAAAAGACCATTGAGTTTGATAGTTGTGGATGAGGATTGTTATCTTACTGTTAACTATTTCTAGAATCTCTGTTTTGTAGATGGTCAAGCTGTATGAACTTTAAAAAAAACCAATTCTTATTCATGCAGTGGTGATCCTCTAATATGATGCAGATATATCATGTGTAAAATAACATAGGGTCTTACCTATGCAACAGAAGTGTTTCAGTGTGTCTTCTAATGCTATACAGTGGAAACACAGTAAAAAGATGGGCAAATGCTTTGTTATTTGGCCTGAGGGGCTACGTAAGAGAGCAAGCAAGCTGGCATGCTGATGTTACAAGGCAGCCTGTATCCTCAGCTGCGCCGAGGGGCAGTGTATGTTCCTTCCGCAGTGATAATATATAATAAAAAAATCAAGAACAGTTTATTTGCAATATTTCATAATGAATTTAACGCAGTGTTAAAAACATGATTCCTATGACTGAGCTAAACCCTTTGGAAGTACCTCCACAATCGTCATTAGACTAAGAGCGTCAAGGAGACTAGGGGATCTCTTTTTAGAAGTTTTGATGTTTTGTGCTATTACCTGAAAAAGATGAATTGTATAACTTGCAGAAAGAAATAAGTGAACAAACAAAACCAGCCAGAGACTATTTCATAGATACATAGTTGTAATAAGGCTGTCAATATTATAGCTGAGATGAAATTGCCTTACCAGTAAGCCTTCTGGTGGCTACAGTCTGTTCTGTGATTTAATGTGGATTTTTTTTTCAGGCCTGAAAGGAATGTTAGTGCTATTAGATTAGTGGTATTGTATTCCAGTGCTGTGCTTCCCATTCAGAGAAAGCTCTTTGGTCCATCAGAGGATTCTGTGAATGGAAGAGTACTTAGGCAATTCTTGACAGTTCCCTTTTCACCTGTACCCTCCTCACCCCTGCACAGGTGCCCCAACTTTCTGGAGCACCTTTATTGGAGGTGCTGAGTTCAGCCAGGCAAAGAGTATTAAGTAAAGATGGCTGCCTCTTCCATTTAGTAGACCCTTCATTGGAGGAAAAAGCCTTTTGTGCACAGACCACTGTTGGATGTATTATTGTATACAAAATACAATATCTTGAGAGTGATGTACCTAAATGTTTGTCCGAGGGAAAATAAAAAATTGGGAAATATCAGTATGTCACATCTGTTATGATTAACAAAAAATTTAATGTATACCAAGAGAGGGTGGGAGGGGTAAGGGAAACTGTGGCAGATGATCTGCCCACAATATATTATAATCAGGTCATGTCATAGCATAAAACAGAATGCAACAACTTCCTCAGGCAGCATATTTTGTGTGTTGTGAAAAAACAGGAAAGTATTAGCTATTTAATTTCCTATTACTGTTTTTGTTTTTTTTTTAACGGCTGGAGAGGGGAAGAGATGCTTGTGGAGTTTTCTGCCTAAAACGGCAGAATAACTTGGTTGGTTTAGGAGTATTATGAATGTTGACTTGGATGAAGGAGAGACCACATTCAGTTTGCCGTCTCAGGCAGTGACACATCTTAGGCCAACCTTGGTTACAGTCTTCATATGGTGATGAAAGAAGTCCTTTTATTTTTTTATAAAAAATAAATTATATTTATCATTTGTGTCCAGTGTTGGACAAAAAAAGCTGTAATAGTCACTCTCCCTGAAAAGAAGGAATCATTCAACTTCATGTGTAGTACCAACTTTAGCAGCTGACGATCAGAAAATAATTGAAATCTGTTATGATAATCTTCGTTTTAGTTTCTACTGATGGGAAATCTTAATTTTGTGCATAAATGCAATTTTCATCAATTTTCCCTGGGTAGAACCCTTATCTCTGTGTATGGAAATATTTGCTTTGTTACTTCTCTCCCCTCCCCACTCTTTAGTAATCCTTTATGGGTTTTCTCAATCTTTTTCCTGCCCCCCTCCAAAAAAAATCATAAAATAAAACACTTTTACACTTCACAAAGTTCTCCCATTCTTTTAAGATAGTTGGAATTCACTGTCATGAAAATTTGACCTAGCGATTGTTTTCATTTAAAATGTATATCAGGATTTGACACTGTTTCTATAGCACACTTAAAAGAAAGAGACAGCCCTGTGGAGAAGCCATAAGCACCGTTGTGTAAAATGAAAAGCTTTAAGTATTGTCAAAATACACTTTTATTTTGTACAATATCTCCGTATTGGGTGAATCTGATGGCAACAAACTTGCTCCTTTAAAAACTGCTTTAATAGTGATTTTTGGACATTGTTGTCAAGCAGAGATTAACACACTTCAAAATTTCTACAAAAGAAATTTCTACAAAATTTCTACCTGTCTTCAATGGGCAGCTACATAAAACCAGTGCACACTGCTTCAGCAAAACCTTTTAAAATGACAGATTGACAGAACATGAGGAATATTTATGAAACCCGCACACAGTCATGGAGATCTGCAAGAGTCGGCACTGTTAGTTTGAGAATAGTAGAAAATGGAATAATATCAGTTACAAGTGGAATTATTTATTTTAGTGGAAAATACTAATTTTTGGTCTTTTCCTCTTTTCTTTGCTGTGGAAAAGATGGAGTGCAAGAATAAAAAAGATGGCAATAATATGAACCATATTGGTACACCAGAATACTAGAAATGTCATTCTAAATCATGCATTTATTACCTTTCCATTCTCACTTGAACAATATAAATTAAAATTTAGATTTTTTTTTTGTTTATGGTATGTATTTCTCTACTAAGTTGTCTCTTGCTGCTTATCTTGTTGTTAAATATCCATTTTCCAAACATGGTTCTCTCTCACGTTTCAATCAGTTGTTCTTGATCTTCCACAAGTTCAGTTTCAGTGCTTGATCCCATAATATTACATTTATGTGTCTTTGAAATTTGATCACACACAGAGAACAAAGGCTTGCCAAGAAGCATGTAATATTTCAATATTAAGTAGTGTGACATGGGACAAGGAAGATGTTTCAGAAATCAGTGCTTTATCATCTGCAGAAGTCTGAAAGATCTTGAATGTGTTTGGAAATGTCTTTGAGGAAACAGCATGGTATTATGCCTGCCCATTTGTGTGTCTGTCTCTCCGAGAGAACAATTACAGCTAGCAAGAGGAATTGGTGTAGACTAGATGACTAGTATAAATTGAATTAGTCTGACAAGGACATTTCGGTTGGGGGTCGAAGGGACCATCAGCCTGATGGAAAACAGAAGAAAGCCCCTGGTGACACAGCTTGACCTGGGATGTCACTGTGGTTTTTCTGTGTGGTGCTTTCACTCAAAGCCACAATGCTTGTTATTCAATAAAATCAGTTTGATGGAGGTCCACAGTACAATGCAGAATTCACTTTGAAGGGGGAAAAATCTACAACATGTATTCAAATGGATGCAATTTATTTGAAAAACTCTGGATTTAAGATTAAAAACCTCTACGTCCCTCAGAAAACGAACAACGTCCAAATTTCGGCAAGTGTCTTTTGACCTTTGAAAAAGTTACCAAATTCAAAGCTTTTATAAGAATGATGATTATCTGAGCTTAGTGCTTTGGTTAATTTTCCCTTGAATTTCAATTATTTTTGATTTGATTTTATAAGTGGAATTTGAATACACTTTAGCATGAATTTTTTTATTATTTTATAAAGCACAGGTTAGCATTGTTTAAAATATTTAGTTAACTATATTCCTGAGGTCCTTAATATTTTTCTGTTCATATTTATTGAAATATTTTGATCACTTTTTCTCTAATAATTCCAATGCTTTTATGTTTCTTCATTATATTATTTGCAAGAAAGGGGATCTGCTGGGAGTCTTCTTTTAGTAAAGAATGCACACTTTTAACCATTCTGTACATACTAACTAATGAGTAAAGGTGTGATCAGATAGCTGCAAAGATTTGTGCCTGATTTCACAGGAAAGGGTGCTTTAATGCAGTAGTACAAAAGCTCGGGTCTGCAGATGTTCTTGGAATAAAATGCTCTGAAGCCAGGATTTCTGGGAGCTGCAGTCCAAGAACATCTGGGGACCCAATGTCGGGAACCACTCCTTTAATGGGAGAGCACTCTCTTAAAATGTCTCTTCCATCTGCTGGGGCATCACTCCAAAAAGGTCCAGCTTGGGGACAGACAGTAGTCAGGCTGTATTTCCCTCTACGTTGTGTGATCACCAGCAAATAGATCACACTGGACTGCTCTATAAGCAATCAAAATGACGATCTATTTCCCTATGTGATCACAACCTAAGTTTCACTGAAGTCTGTGGGGCTTTCTTCTCAGACAAGATGTATGCAGTGGTACTGTGCATTACTTTCCCTTTCTTTTTCAACTCTTAATATGCTTTGTCAGATGTTCATTCCCCACAAGGACAATTCACTTTCTAATTTTCATTAAATTTATTACAGTAATTTTTATAATGCCACATAAATTAATTCAAGATCTACAAGAGTGCATTTCTTGTAATATTGAACCCAGGTACATGTATAGGAATAAGGATGTGTAGATCCCTTGTCAGGAACAGTAACTATATACATTTTCTGCTCTTTGTGGTAATATTAAGGAGATCCATCCAGTTCTTAACTAGTACAGACCCATTGGATCTCTGGGACTTAATGCAAGTGTTGACTTAGCAGATCCCATTTATTCAGTGCGGCTGCTCTAGGGGAAACTAACAAATAAATTTGGTCTCTAAAATGAAGAGAATGTAAATTATGGTAAAACATCCATATTTAAGAGGTGTGCAGGTACAAACATTTCTCTTTGTGAATATGTAATTTTAGTTTGTCTTAACAACTGTTCTCCTTTCCCACTTATTTTTCAGGGATTTAAGTGAAAACCAGATTCAAGGCATTCCAAGAAAAGCTTTTCGGGGAATTACTGATGTGAAGAATTTGTAAGTATTATATCTGTGGTGGCACGTGTGATGAAACTAAATTTATTGCTTGTTATATTCTTCTGTATTTGAAGTGGGAGATATACCAGAAATGTTGTGGTACATGGAAATGGTTTCCATACCTATAAATAGATGGCTAGGTTACCTTACTGTTGAGTTACTTGTTCACTATTCAAATAGACTCCATCATCTTTCATCCAGGAGTCTTCAGCTTCATTCAGATAGATAAGGGAGACTGCACAGGACAGCAAATGCACACAGTAAAAAAAGGAAGCTGAAATTTGTTTGATTTCTTTGTGTGAATAGTGATAACCTCAAAATCCAAAACCCTAGAAAATCAGAGTATGATTGTAAGAGGACCTTAACTTCTATAGACTATCACTCTCCATGTGAACATAGGGATGAGAGAGGGAGACATTAAGCTGCACCCTTTTCTCCTTTATTCAGTTTAACCATATCCCAACTATTTGAATAGAGTTTTGTCTGCTCTTTATGTAAACACAAATCTTCCTGTTCCATGTTTCAAAGGGGATCATAAAGCAGAAGTTGTTGAAAAATTCCGTAACACCGTCCTATTCAGCTGCTGAGCTGAAATTTGGAGAGTTGCAGTTTATGACCTTGATCATTGCACTGCTTTAAGGCCTGGCCCTCTCAATGGAGAAACAGATCTTGGCTGTGGCCAGTCTGTCTTTTTCCATCTGAGGCAGACTGCACATTTCTCTCCCCTTATCGACAGGAAGTTCCCTAATAACAGTGGTTCATGCGTTGGTCATCTCGAGGATTGACTATTGCTCTGTACATGAAGCTGCTCTTGAAGGTGGTTTGGAAGCTGCGGACAGGTTGGTCATTGATACATCTAAATTTGATCATATTTCACCCATCCTGGCCTGCCTGCACCGGTTGCCAGTATGCTTCCAGATCAAATTCAAGGTACTGATGCTAACTTATAAATCCCTTTATTGTTTAGGACCTTGCTACCTGTCAGGACACCTCTCCCTCAGGTCATCCCCCTTCATATCTGCATCTCCCAGTTCTTCATGCCGCGGGTGGCTACTCTGAGTGAGGCCCAGAAGTCATCAACCAGAAGCTGAGCCTTCTCGGTAGTGGCTGCCCCACTCTGGAACTCCCTCCTTCTGGAGGTATGATTGACCCCCACCCTTGTGAGTTTCCGAAAGCAAGTGAAAACCTGGCTTTTTGCCCAGGCATTTATAAATTTCACCCCTTTGTAAATTTAAATTGCTATAGGTTTTTGCTATTTCGTAGAAGCCGCCCAGAGTAGTGGCTTGTCCACTAAATGGGAATAAATGTAAACAGACCAATAAAAAAATAAATAAGCACAGGTAAAGATTACTGTACAGTTCCCTCCCCACCAACACTTTTCCGCTTCCGAAAGAAATATCTCTCTTCATTTTGTTGCAACGTATTATGTGTATGAACACAATGATAATTTCCAGTTATTAGGAGTAATTAATTTTATTTTAGGACTTCAAACTTCAAGGTAACAGTATTATTGCTCAATCTATTTAACATATTGCCCACTAAATCTTTAAATCTATACACATAGTAGAATTAAAATGAGAGAGGAAGACATAGCTTCCTATCAGTGGACTTTTCAGGTGACAGGAGAAAAATGTTAAGGGCCTGTTAAAATTTAAATGCCTGACCCTGTTATAAGTATTTCTACAGTTTTAATCTTGGCTTTAAAATAATTGTTGTTGTTTTTCTTGGCAGAGGGATGGTTCAATAAGGGAAGTTTATTTTCCTCCCCCTTTAATTAGTTGCACACCTAAAGGAGAGGTTGGAAAGTTAGTGGGAAAGAATTAATGTTCATAATGTAAGATAATCATAGATAGGTGGGGAAAAACCCTGCTTCTGTTATGCTTCTGCTGAAACAGAGATGTTTCAAACAATTAAGTTAATTTTAAATGGCTGTCTAAATTTACATTACGTTGCTACACTGAAAACCTTACCAGAATGAAAGTGAAAAATCCCATTCATTATGGTACTTTGTTTATTCTTCATGGATTAATTCCCAACCCACAGTGTTTTAAATATGCATTTACAAATCTGTTACATTATTGGAATTGGATAGATCTGTATTCACTAGTATCTATATTTGACTAATACTTATGGCTTACCTTTTCCTCATTGGCTGGCTGGATAGGTAAAGGGAAAGGTTCCCCTTGACAGTTTTTGTCCAGTCGTGTTTGACTCTAGGGGGCGGTGCTCATCCCCGTTTCCAAGCCATAGAGCCAGCGTTTTGTCCAAAGACAATCTTCCGTGGTCACCTGGCCAGTGCGACTCAGACACGGAACGCTGTTACCTTCCAACTGAGATGGTCCCTATTTATCTACTTGCATTTGCATGCTTTCGAACCGCTAGGTTGGCGGGAGCTGGGACAAGCGACGGATGCTCACTCCGTCACGTGGATTCGAACTTACGACTGCTTGGTCTTCTGACCCTGCAGCACAGGCTTCTGCGGTTTAGCCCGCAGCGCCACCACGTCCCTTGGCTGGCTGGATAGCTGAGTGATTTAGGCATCTGACTGTGGAACCAGAGGTTGGGAGTTCGATTTACTGCGGTGCTTCCTGCAAGTAGAGCCAGCCCGTGTGGCCTTGGGCAGGCTGAGAGTTCCAGGATACCCCAGAAGAAAAGAATAGTAAATCACTTCTGAGTATTCTCTACTTTGAAAACCCTGAAAGAGGTCACCATAAGTCAGAATGGACTAGACCATGGGTCGGGGAACAGGGGTAAATTACCCCATTTGGGGTAAAAGTGAAAATCCTGGGGGTAATGAGCAGGCTGCTACCCCCCTCCCTCCCATCCACCCCCACCCTCTGGAGCCAAAGCTTTAATTGTAAACCACCTCCCTGTTACTTCCTTCGTTGGAGCAGGGAGCTCCTAAATGCTCCGTTCTGTTAGAGAGATCGGCGAGATAAGACTAATTGGATGCAGCTGGGGATTAGCCCCGGGCAATCAGCCAATCCGGGGCTTCTCATTAACTGCTTCCTCCGGAAGTGACTGCAAAGAAGCAGCAGGAGGGAAAGGAGCAAGCAAGGGAAGAAAGAAAGGTGCGAGAGACCTAGGACTTCGTCAAGCTTATTTAAATGTACAAAATGGAGGGAGGGAGGGGTGTGTGTGTGAGAGAGAGACTACTCAGAACTGAAAATGAACAGGCAGGCAAGCAAAAGTGAAACTGAATTAAGG